GGTGGGTTGCTCAGGAAAAGTAGGGAGAATCGGCAAGCACCCTGATGAGGCACTGAGTATGACGGGGGGTGTTTCCTGAAGAGCCTGTCATGAGTCTTATGATAGAATGGGAAGGAGCTAGGGCTGCCAGCCAACCTCTATGTGGGGCTGGGAGATCCCTGGAATGGCAACTGATCTCCAGACTATGGAGATCAGCTACCGTGGAGCAAACAGCAAATGTGGAGGGTGGACTCTCTAACATTATGCCCCACTGGGGTCCCTCTCTGCCCAAACCCTGCTTGGCCCTCCACAGGCTCCTCCCCCAAATCTCCATGAATTTCCGGACCCTAGGAGCACCCTTGGTTCTGAGCAGCATCGTCCCAAACCTGGTCGTGGCTTGTGGCACATCTGGGGAGGGGCATGAAACTTGGCCCCTCTTGGCACATTTCATTTGCAGATGAGGATAAACAAGGTTGATGGAATAGCTGGCCAAGTTTAGAGCCAGGGTGGATTTACCCAAATGATAGCAGCCATGGCAAGACTACCTAGCACTGCCCACTCTTTAAAATATATTGTCATATTTAAAATAAATCATATTTATTTTATTCAAATCAGCAATATTGTTTCATGTCCTTATTTTTTTGGGGAGGGTGCCTATTCCCTAACACATTTGGTGTATATTTATGAAGGTCTGAAAGACCTGTGTGAAAGCCAGGTGTTCTACTGAGCCCTGAAGTAAAACAGCTTTTTTATATTTTAGATGGCACCCTGATTCTAGGCCACTTTTCTCTCCATGGTGAACCAAAGTGGCTTAGAAAAAGAAAAAGGTTCCAAATTAACCCTCCCACACACAATAAACAAAATAAGGCTGCAATCTTAAACCCACAGATATCTGAAAGCAAAGAGTAGATGCCTCAGGGAAAGGTTCCTCTCCATGAAGGAAGATTATAAGTCTGTCTTCTTTCTGCCCTTGCCAAGATCAAATGCAGCTGGAAAATGTCCAAAAGAAAATCACTTATGCAGCCCCCAAAACTTTAAAAGCTGCATACTTTCTGAGAAGATATATCATTTAAATTTTCTAGGAGAGGAGGAACAGAGACTCATGTGAAACTATGTTCGTCTGTTTTGGTTTATCAAGGAGAACCTGCATTTAGTTCTTTCTCCTTGTTTCTCTAGAGTCCTCTGCCAGTTGGCATGGTGATTGAAAGATCTACTGACTTCGGCAGGACCTGGAGAATTTATCAGTACTTGTCCACAGATTGTGCCACCTCATTTCCAAGGATCTCCAGAGGCCTTCCTCAGAGCTGGCAGGATGTCCGGTGTCAGGATATACAGACTCATCATAGACCACCTCAGGGTGGGGGGAAGGTACAGTCAATGTGATACTTTCCACGAACAGAAAGTGATGTGAAGTTCACCAAACTTAGCTAACTTCTGGCATCTCAAATAGTTCGTTTCGACATAATCGAGGATTAATCAAACCTCTTTAGATAGCCCTTTCCAAACTTGTTGGAATTAGATCACAGAAGGTTGTGTGGACAGTACTTAATTTCTTTTAAAAGGTGCTGTATTAAAAAACTGGCTGGGAGTCCAACCTTCTACTCTGACACTCCTTCTCTAATCTAAGGAAAGTGCAAGAAAACTTGATTACTCATTAATGAGAAGATAACCCTGTATGTGCTCAGAAGTAGTCTTTTAATGAACTTAACTTGATCCCTTCCATTCAAAAGTGGGCTTGGGGGATATCTCTGTCTTAATGCAAACTTTAGTTGGAAACTATATGTCACCCTGTTTAGAGATTAGAGACCATTGTATATAAATCCTAGTTCCCATTCCTGTTCTATGCTGTGTTGCTTCCCTGCATTGGCTTCTTCTCTGTGAAGGGAATATTTGACTATCTTATATAGTTTGAAATGTCAGTCAAAGTCCATTACATTGTCACAGTGTGCCACATCTCAACAGAGCCTTTCTTAGATAAATTATGTGTTGGTGGTATTCACAAACATTACACAAAACTGACCATAGAGCAGTGCTCATCATTTTTTTTCATATGTGCATGTGTGTATGAGAGTGTGACTGTGTATGCATCTGGAAGTCATGGTGACTTCTGGTGACTGACCCCTACTGGGGGCCTGTAGGATATTCAGAGGGGTAGCCGAATAAAGCCTGCCCCTGCCTCCTAACTGCTAGTATTCCAAGGAGATCTCCCATCCAAGTACTTGCCAGAGTTGACCTTGCTTAGCTTCCAAGATCTGATGAGATCAGACTTGTCTGGGCTATCCAGGTCAGGGCTGCACTATTTTCTTCACTATCAAAACAGGATATTGTAGAGCTGGAAAAGTATAGAACAGGGCAACCAAGATGACTAAGGTGTTAGAGCATCTTTCCTATGAGGAAAGGCAGGGAAGTCAGAGACTTTTCAGTCTGGAAAAAAGATGGCTAAGGGAGAGGGACATGATAGAGGTTTATAAAATTATACATGGGGTGGACCAAGTAGAGAGAGCTTTTTCTCTCTCTTCCATAAAACTGGAAGGGGTATCCAGTGAAGTAGTTAGGAACTATTCAGAGCACATAAAAGGAACTACTTCTTTACTCAATGAGTAATTGAACTGTGGAATTCACTGCTGATGGAGGTAGTGATGGCCATGAATGTAGTTGGCTTTAAAAAGGCATTAGACACATTCATGGAGGATTGGTCCCTCAAGGGCTACTAGCCATCTTGAGTATAGGGAACCTCCATGTACAGAGGCAGCAAATCTCTGAACACCTTCATGCCATGTTTGTTGGTGCTCCAGGCCAGCTGGTTGGCTACTGTGTGAAACAGTTTGCTGGACTAGATGGACCACTGGTCTGATCCAGCTGGGTCTGCCTTGGTGGGGAGGGCGGGGTAAAAGTTAAATAAATATAAATAAATAAATAAATACAATATTCTTAGTAATAGTGTAACAGTACAGTATTTTAAGTGGGATGTGCCCATTGACTTTTTTCTCCAGTAAGAAGTGATAGAAACCCCTATACTAGCATCCTTTGACATTAATCATTGCTTCCTCCTTTGTTTGTGTAAGATTGAGTTCAACCTCATTGACCTTGCATTTGGGATGAGGACATCTCGAAGCCAAAGTATCAACAGTATGTACACATTTTTGTCAATTATATTTATAATGGATGGATTACAGGTGGCAGAACTTGATTGTGTGCCCAAGTGGAGGCTTCCTTCAAGCTGATATTGAAGGTATGTCAGCCCTGGCAATAACATATGCTTCAGAACCAGATTGTGCTTCTGCTTCTGATTACCTTTGCTGCATATCTTTTAGAAAAACGTGTGCTTTGGGGTGGAGCAGGATGGGTGATGATGTGAGTCATTAGTTATGTGGAAGGAACAGAAGTGAATGTATCAGAAGTGGTACATGCAGAGGACAAATTGTTTCTGAGTAACTTTTATGCCTATGAATGCCAGCATACCTGTGAGTAGAGCAAATACTGTGACTTGAGGTTCATGTCAGACTCCTGAGGCAATCAGTTCCCAACAATGTTCATTCAGGGAAGTGAAGTTTATTGAGACAGTAGTGCTACAGGTATCATAACTATTTTGTGATAGAACTGAAGAGACAAAGCAAATAGATATACATAACTCAAATGAGTCCCCTGATGGCCTCCAGCCCATCAGGTATCTGGCAGAAGCCCGCCAAAGTAACGGGTAACAGTTCCCAGGAGAAAGACTACACCAGGCACTCAAGGTCATATAACACAGAAGACAGATAATAAATCCAGTGTAGGCACAGCAGAAACAAAACTCATCATTCCAAAGCATCCCCCCCCCCATCTACATGACAGCCAGGTAGGAGGCCTTGCTGACAGTTCATCATTGCAAAGTGTGGGATTTTTAGCACAATTTTTTTTCCCTATTAGACTCTTCTCCCTATTAGAGTACATAGTATAATGATATACAGATAATGTTGCTTGTTATTATTAGCATGCTCAGCTTCTCTGGGAGTAGCTATGAGCACCATTCAGGATTTGTTTGTACAGTTTCTTTAGTAGGAAGCATGAGAGAGCTGTGAAGCTAATCCAGTCTAGAATTTTGTGTTAGTTTTGTGTTTTACGTATTAGATAATTATCCTGCTGTTCATCTAAGAAGTTTAGGGGGGTATATGTGGCTCTGCCACCTATATCCTCACAGTAATTATGTAGGTAGGTTCGGCTGAGAGTGCCTGGCTCAAAGTCACTTGATAAACTTCATCGCACAATGTGGTGTGGAATGCAGCTTTTTCTAGTCATTGTCCCAAGGTCTCGTGACTACGGTATGCTGGCTACCTTTTAAGTGGGTTCAGCTTAATCCCATTTGGTGTCTATGGAAATTGAGACTCAGACTGCTGTTCTGATGCCAAATGCAGAACCTCTGCACAGTGGTGCAATTGTGTGTGCTAAGAAATAATAATATTTACTGTTTGGAGACAGGGAAGCATTCCTTAAAATAGTTTAGAAACCCTCTGCAGGAGCCAGCAATCCATTTAGAAAGCATTCTCTTAGTAGCAAGACCTGTTACTGATCTTTTCTAAAATGTACTTATCTGGATGCAGACATAGCCCTATTATTTCCTTTCATTTATTGGTATATAAAAAGAACTACACACCAGCATGACTGTCACTGTAATACCATGCTGGATCTTTGGTCTCTGAGCCAAAGGCTCCTGTCTTGCATCTCCTCTTGGCCTTTGTATACTTCTCAGACTTGTATGTTTTCTGTACCCTTCATTGTTCTTTTTCACTTGTCTCGGATAGATCTGGCCGAATTCACGAACTTGAGGATCAACTTCACCCACCTGTCCCGCCCCCCACACCAGGGCTACCGCGTACCCAGTGCTTTCTATGCCTTGACAGAGATGCAAGTGCAAGGGAGCTGCTTCTGTAATGGACATGCTGACCACTGTGTTGCCCTGGATGCCTCTTCCAGAGAACCTAGTGCTGTGGTGAGAACAGTGGAGGCGGCACATTGTTTTCCATCTCTCCTGCATAGGTTCTAGTTAACCTGCAGTTTGGTTTGTTTGTACAATTTGTCCCTTTTGGTTTGCAAAGGTATGCCATAAGCCCACTGTGCTTTTGGAAAGAGAATATTTCCTGCAGAGACTGAAATCATGGACTGTAAACGCAGGAAGATTGAAATGCAGTTGTAAATCAACCTTTCTCCATGGCCATCAAGCCATTCAAAAACCTGTTACAAGCACATTTAAAACTGTCATTCTGTGTGTTGCACTTGCAGAGTTCTGTTTTTTCTCTTGTGCATGCTAACCTCAAGACAAGAAGTAAAGGGGCTTTAAGTTAAAGAAGTGAATTCAGGAGGGCTGGTGTCAGCATACTTCGGTGTGGGGCATCTGCCAGGGCTCAGGGATACTGGCACAGCCCACTGAAACTGACCCCCACCTCCCCACGTGCTCTGCCACCTGCCTGCACGCCCTTCCCTCACCTGCTCACTTGCAAGCATTCCACCTCCTGTGCTCCTGGCTACCTGGGATGCACAGCACTTCCAGGCAAAATCATGTGGGTGGACCAAGCAATATTCCTTATGGTCACAGCAGTGGCACTCCCAGTTACACATACTGCCCGGTGCCATTGAGGAAAGGGCAGGCAGGTGGCAGGGAAGATGGCAGGGGGTCATGACCAGGCAGGGGAAGGATACACAGGCGATGTGGGGTTCATGTGTGAGGGCATAAAGGAAGTGAGAATGGGGGTACTGTTGATGGGCAGAGGAGTGGGACTCCTGAGCACTCTCTGCCTAGGGCCCCTCAAAACCTGGTCCTGGTCCTAGAATTTAGCCTCTAGAGTCAAGGGACTGATGGAGGAAAGGCTTAGCCATCCGCTCTGTCTGAGCGGCAAAAATAACTTGAGGCTTCAAACAGCATTTCTGCATTTCTGAATAACCCTAAATTTCATCAGGCCCCTGAGCAGCACAGTCATCCTGTTTTCTCCACCTACAAAATTATTTTCTCCATGTGGGCTTTTGTGACTGCTCAAAGGGGCAGGAGGGCAGGAGAGGAAGTGTGTGGGTGGGTGGGGGGAGGGAAGAGATGCAAGAAAGAGAGTTTTGCACACCCCTTATATCTCTTTTCTCTCTTTCTGTATTTATCATTTTTTGAATTAGCAAGACAAAAGGACTAAGACACTTGAGGAAGCTTGGAGAGAAGCTTCAAGAAGAGAACTGTTTCCCTAGTCCCTCTGGATGGAAAACAGCTTAATAGGGAGCAAGGGGGAAATGAGACTGGGAAATGGAAACCTCTCATCCTTTCTTCTCACCACTTCAAAGAGTGAGGAGGAAGATGGGAATATCCTTGGTCAAACAAGCTTCCAGGTTTCTTAAACGTAGAGAAGGCTGTACACTTTTCTGAATTCACATATATCCTAATAGGTCTGAATTGGCAATCACAGGCTTAATGGGATATTTCAACATGCAAGAGCAGTAAAAAAGACAAACTCCATACTTGGGATTATTACAAAAAGGGCTGACAGCATCCAAGTGCCTTTATATCAATCAATCATTCAGGCAGCCACATTTGAAATACTGTATTCCGTTCAGGTGACCTCATCTCAAAGAGCATACCAGATAGCTGGGAAAGGAATAGAAAATGATCCAATGTTAGGAGCATCTTTAGTACAAGAGAAGGCTAAAATATTTGGAGTTTTTGTTAAGAAAAATATGGCTAAAGAAAGGGAGGATATAATAGAAGTTTATAAAATTATGCAGTGTGAAACAATTGGATAGAAATAACTTTTTCTTCCCTTTCAGGCAATACCAGAACAAAGAGGCACCCAGTGAATCAGTTCATAACAGGATCAATATGCCAATAAAGGCTAACTTGAACTTGAACAGGATCAGAACAAACCAAAATATTTCCTCGCAAAACACTTATTTATGGAATTCACTGCCACAAGAGGTGGTGATGGCCACTAGTTTATGCTTTTAAAAGCAACACAAACATCTGTTAGCCATGATGGCTATATGAAAACTCCATGTTTAGAGACAGTGTGTCATTAATACTAGCTTGAGAGGAGCAATTGCAGGGGAGAGCTACTGCCTTTCTGATATACTTGAGGGCTTTCTGAGGATGTATGGTTTGCTGTTGTGTAAATATGATGCTGTACTAGGTTGGTTCCACAAAGAGGATTTTCCCCATTTCAGCCACCCAAGTTGTGCATTCCCCCTCCCAGTTCTTACATGACATTGTCCTCAGTTGTGCGTAAATTGTGAACAGTCCTTTCTTTCTACAAAAGAACTCTGATTTTTTTTTTAAAAAAACAGGATATAAAATCCTGGCATGACATTTTGGGTGTCAGGACAATGTCATAGCACAGTTAGTAAAGGACCACAATGCAAAACTAGTCAGATTGAGGAGAGGTGGCAAGCAGCATTAGTGTCTTCTTCAGGGCTGCAAGGGGACCCAAATATAGTGAGGAACAAATTTATTACATAGTGAGATTTTGGTGGTGGTGGGGATCTGTTCCAGTGTCTCATTCAGTGCTGTGACTGAATGCATGAGCATTAGTGGGTGGAGAATCATGATGGCAGCATGCATGAATGGAAAACCATGACTACTAATGGTGAAAAAAGAATTACCTTGTGCCATCTGGAATCTCCATTACAAATGCGAATTGTACCAACAATTGCATTGGCATCATGGTTAACATGGGAAAAAACCCTTGTGTGGAATCAGCCCTAGATGTACTAGAAGTATGAGGTTCTTACACCCCCACCCCCATTTATTGTGCCATCCTAAGGCTTGTTAGACCCTTCTGAGCCCATTGACTTCAGTGGACGTCCGTTGTTAGAAATTCTTAATATCTGGTCCTGCCATAATTTAGGTCAGACTGGAGTTTCCCACATTATTAGTTTGGCATTGTAGCATTAGGCCCCAAATGTGAGAACCAGAGCCAGCAAAAATGAGATACTAAAAATGTACATGATTTTGTGCATTTAAGCTGTGCAGACTTGTAGTGATCCCAGCTATGTCCTGAGCAGTGATTTGAATTCCAGGGATCTAAATGGGCATCCACACGAGTGGCTTGCAGATCTCAGGCATTCCAATTCAGTGTCTGTTAAGACCACCTAATAAAAATGTAGAATCACCCAGAATGCATTCTTGGGACAAATCAGAAGATAGCTTATCTCTATAGGACCACCTAGGCAAAGACAAAGTGTGAACACCAGTACTCTGCCAGAGGGTAGCAGGCTGAAAAAAAGTAAAGCTGTCTTCTGTTCTAGGTTCATGGACACTGTGTGTGCCAACACAACACAGCTGGTCCCAACTGTGAACATTGTGCTGCTTTCTTCAATGACCAGCCATGGCGACCAGCTGAAGACAGCAACCCCAATGAATGCCTCAGTATGTATGCCTGGCAAAAAATAGGCCATACTTGGAGTTATTTTTAACAAAGCCTTTCAGAAACAATAGCAAGGGTTTTTTTAAAAGCTGTTAGCTTATTGAAAATTGTGCTGGGGGAGTAGGTAAGATTTGAGGTAGGGTATGCGCTTTCGTGAGTCACTGCTCACTTCTTCAGATAATCTCATACCCTATCACAGATTTTGTTAGTCTTTAAGGTGCTATTGGACACTTACTCTTTTCTCACGGAACTGTGTTCACTAATTAAGATCAGAGTGCCCCATCGTCCAACATAAGGAGAGTGCCTAAGTGCTTTTAAATATGCGTTAATTTTGAATTTTAATGGGAGCTGCTGCTGTGAAGTGCATTAAGTGCTGTCAAGTTGTAGCTGACTTACGGTAACTCTGAAGGGTTTTCAAGGCAAGAGACTACCAGAGGTAGTTTGCCATTGCCTGCTTCTGTGAAGCAACTCTGGACTTCTTTGGAGGCCTCCTATCCACGGGTACTTAGCTTCCAAGATCTGATGAGATTGGGTTAGCCCGATTTTAATTGATGATATTTATATCTGTTATTTTAAAACATTGGCTGTGATCGTTCTTATTGTTTGTTGTCTTAAGAATTCAATGAATGAAGAGTACAGCAGAGATTCCTACACACACACACACACACACACACACAACAAACCAAAAAGAAAATAAACACACCTTCCTCTATTATTACTAGATGCCTGCAGTGGGATTTGGTGAGGGAGACCAGTGCACCATCTACTGGTATGCAGAAAAATATATACCATCGGTTTCCATTGATATGAATACAGACATGGTTTGCTTCTCTCCAGGGTGTAACTGTAATGGTCATTCCAACAAGTGTTATTTTGACCCAGCCGTCTTCCAAGCCAGCGGGGGAGTGAGTGGGGGCGTGTGTGAAGACTGCCAGCACAATACAGCAGGGAGGAACTGTGAGCACTGCAAGACCTATTTTTTCCGTAACCGGAGGTATGACCTCAGCCACCCTGAAGCCTGTCTCCGTAAGTGTGTCCTTTTAGCATTCTCTTTTCTACCACATCAAACTTGTTTATGTTTTTAATTTGATTTATTTCATGTTTGTGGTATGTTTGTGTTCCAAAAGTTCACATTCTAAAATAACAAAAGATGAAAGGAGCCAGTGAAAGATAAGAATACAGGAATATCAAATCCAGTTAAGAGTATATCCAAAAACAAATGTTTAAGTTCTTAAAACCAATTTCATCTTATGGTCTCTCCCCCTCCCTGCAAACAAAACAAAATAAAAACCTGGAAATTGTAGTTTGGCAGAGTACTATGAATTCTGTTAGAGATCCCTAGACCCTTAACAGAACTACAGTTCCCAGGGTTCCTTGCAGAGAAGGAATGGCTGTTTATTAAATTCATCTGAGCTGGTTTCCACATGGGGAGGGGCGGGTGTGGTTTCTCTGTAGCTGGTGTAGCTGCCGATAATGCACACCAACAGTGGGGCTTCCACATGATGGCGTTTCCCGCAGTTTGCTTCTCCCAGGCCCCGAACGCTACCTTCCCCTGGGCCAGCGGGGCTATTGAAATAATTGGGACTAGAATATCATTATAATGTTGTACCAATAGGGGTACCACATTTTTTTAAATTCCCAGTTTCCTTAATTTTTTTAAAAATAAGTCTCTAATTCCTTCTGTTGTGGAGATATAAGGGGGAAGCCATATCTCTGCAACAAAAGGAATAAAAGACTTTTTTTGAAAAAAGATGAAAATTGGGAAAACCTTGGTATTGGTATAGCAATATTCTGTAACACGTATTGATATATCAGTATTCTAGATCCTTTCCCTCACTAAGTGTCTTGGTATCAAGTGGAGGAAATGGCTGCTGCAGGGACAAGTTTATGAAAAATGGCTGCCATGTGGCGGGGAAAATCCGAATTTTCACACTCACATAGTAACATTCAGGCTTTACTGTGATCTCCCCGAAAACATCAGAACAAATGAGGTTTGAGAGACTGGAAAAAAGCTGGGGAAATCTCAGGAGGTGCATTATCACATCATCATGCTGTGAGGAAGCAGGGGGGAAAACCCTGTTTCCCAAAAACATTGCACTTGGGGCAGATAATCCTTATGGAAATGTCCTATATGTAGCCATGCTAGATATTTTGCCTTATTTTTTTTTTCTGAATACAGATTTTCTTACACAAACTGCACTCTAGCTGATTAGTGATCTTGTAACTGAACTCTCCTTTCTCACCTGACCTAGAACCCTCAAGTTTCCAGTATATTTTGCCTCGTAGCCATAGAAAGGAGCTGTACATCTGTTTTGCAAACTGACAGGAATAAATGGTGGTTATTGTGAGGGGCCAGGGGTGATAATGGCCATTTTGGTGACTGGGTCAGGAAAACTGTGGGGAAACCTGCCATGCCATGTGGAGGCCCCATTGCTGCTGTGCTTTATCTGCAGCTGTACCAGCAGTGGGGAAAACACAAGATCCCATCTCCATGTAGAAAACATCACTGTTAAGAAGTTCCCTGTTGCAAGGTAACTCTCCCTGTCTTCTGTCAGAGTGCTGAATCTGCCTTACTTCTTCTGTAATTGCGAAGTTTTCCAAGGAAGTGGTCGATTAGAGGTGTATTGGATGGCATTTCATGTTTGACCCCTGGCTCCATTTCACCATGAACTATCGTATCTGGCATATTTCAGCTCAGTGATATGGATTCAGTGATTGAAATTAAACTAGCCTCATTCTTGGTGCTCCATTTCGGTAAAATGAGTAACATTTTTCTAAATACTTAATTCCCTAATAAGATGTAGAACATGTGTGTGCTGCATCTCAGAAGGAGAGCTGCTGGTTTTAAGTAAGCCATGGATTCAGTGATTGAGATGAAACTAGCCTCATTCTTGGTGCTCCACTTCGGTAAAATGAGTAACATTTTTCTAAATACTTACCGTAATTCCCGAATAAGATGTAGAACGTGTGTGTGCTGCATCTCAGAAGGAGAGCTGGTACACATACATGTACCTTGACCTGCAGTCAGTAGCTGTATTCATTTGCTTGAACTATCTGCTCTGCGTTCACTTTTAGTTGCTGTTTTATGCTTCTAGTACTGCTGTAGTTTGGGAAGCTGTGTTACTTTCTCTTGCAAGTATTGTTTGGTGCAGGGGACTTGTAAACACATACAATAGACAAGCACCTTAAGTGAACGGAGAACACTTTCTGTAGGTTCCAACCCCTCAACATTTGGAACCACAATTCTTTATTTCTATAGTTGGCAATCCTATCTGCAAATGAATGGTGTATAAAGAGAAGTGAAGAGATGTGAAGTCCTCAAGTAAACCCTCAGACTATATTGCTCAGTGGTGTCTGGTGCCATCCTTTGCTATAGCCTACAACTTCTAAAATATGATGGATATGATGTCTCCTACTTTCAGCTTGTGAATGTGATCCAGATGGCACTGTTCCTGGCTCCAGTTGTGATCCTGTGAATGGCCGCTGTGTCTGCAAGGACAATGTGCAAGGGGACCGTTGCCATCTTTGCAAACCTGGATTCACCCAGCTCGTCAATTCTAACCCCAAAGGTTGCAGAGGTTAGTGAGTCCCTAAGTAGATCATGAATCTTACTTTTCATAAAAGACAGATGTTCAAGACAGTACTTGCCAGCTGAGCAAACAAGTTACATGGTAAGACAATGGCTCGCTGGAGGCCAGCAGTTAATATGGAGCTGCTGCTGCTTAAAAATGCCTGCCTAGGAGGACGTGGAGGAAATGGCCTTTTCTGTGCCCCAGCTCTTCATAATTAGAAGCATCTTGCCTTTTTGGAGGTTTCCCCTGTTGCCTAATCCAAGAAAGGCAGGTGAAATTATAACCGTATAAAAATTTTCTTGCTTCAGCAAACAAGGGGGGAGGGGGGAATCCAAGCAGACAAGGGGGAAAAAAATTAAGCATTCTGTGCCAAGCTACAGGTAATGCTGGAGTTCTGTTGGAACCCCAAATATGTCTTTTGGCCCTAAACAAGCAACTTGTTGTATGTGGAAATCAGATGCAGTGAAGCCAATGGGGGGGGGGGCTAACTCCCCTCCATGCTGTTTCCCCCACAGATATTCTCGCCTGGATGCTTTAAGCCCCAGTGAAAAAGTTACACTCAGTTTCCCATAAGCAGAATTTGGCCCCTTTTCATCCACATTTTCACTGCTCCAAGTTGTCAGTATGCAATACCACTAAAATGAATGTAGCCTCTTTAATACTGGGAGAGCCACACTGGCAAAGCAAGGGTATAGCTCTGCCTTATTTGAGTCACGGGATATTAAACCTCAGTCAGACATCCATTTTAGGAAAATGCTTCCCAAGCCCCTCCTTCCTCTGGAGCATGCCTAGTCTGACTTTTGCCTGTTAGCCACTTAGTGGCAACTAGTATCTGTCCCTTATATATCTGTCCCTTATATATAAAGCTGTAGTGGGGCCCAACGTTCCAATGCACACCAACAGTGTTTGGAGGCTTGAACTGTCAGTCAGAAGATGCTGGCTGGGTTGGCTGGCTGCTTTGTGTAGTCCCGCCCACGTCAGCCCTGGCCAGCGCATTCAGCTCAGTCTGCTCTGGGCCTCTGACAGGAGAGGACCATCTGCAGACTGAGTGCAGGGACGGGGCTTCTACGGCTGGGCCACTTCAGTCCACTCTTCTCTGATTGGGCCAGCATTTCAAGGTCATTTGCATATGGAAGCTGATAGGACTTCACTCCATTCCACACGGCAAACCCCCCAAGGTTCATGTTTTAAAAGCTGCCTTGGGGATTATGGACCATTCACACACTTTCAGCCTTAACATACCTCATAGGGTAGTTGTGCGGATCATACAGGGGAGAG